CACCGATTATTTTCGTCCCCCGTTCTCACTGTGTTCAACTCGGTCCGCCGTTGAACTGGTGCGAGGGGTTGAGGGTGGGAGGGGGGAGGTTGTCCTTTTGTCCTGATTGCGGTTTCCGATCGTTCGCAGGTCACGGCGTGACCTTTATGTTGCGTCATTTGATCCTTGAGTTGCATTGGTGTATACACGTGATCCAGTTCGATGTGCCTGTTTATTGAGTTGATTGAACAGTACCAGGCCTCAAAAGGCCTCGAGATGAGTTTGGGACTGAAGAACGCAGTGTGATACTCACAGTGCGGTATTTCAGAGGAGTGTCAAAGACACCTTGTTCTTCTAAAGTAAACGTTTCAAGGGTTCTAATCATAGCAGTTTGTGGGTACATCTAAGACAATGTACACACAGTGAATGCGGAAAAGTGTAGAGTAAGTATACGTTTCATCAAACTAATAAACTCTGTTTTTTTGGCCTTACTAGCGAAACACTGAGTGATATCCAGCTATTAGCAGGAACAGGAGTCATCTCGTTTGATGTGGAAATGATAGAAAGGACTGAAAAGCTGAGTAACAGGATTTTCCAGATGGGCGTCTTAGACTGTGGGGCGCAGCATACTCGGCAGTAGCTCGCACAAACAAAGGAGTGTTTCTTTCAAACCACGGTCAGAGGCACTGAACCTAAAATCTAACCTACGAGGCAGTGCGCCGTAGATCCAACCGGGTTAAGTTTTCAAGTCCCAGTGTGGGAGCTTCTGCAGACCTGTCACACAAGGCTTTTGTGTGGGGGTTCGGTTTGTTATTGGCTGGTGAGTTAGCTGTCAGTTTAAGCTTCGGGGTCGACCCTTAGCATCTTTGATCTGATGAGATAGACCAAACATTTAGGAGACAGCGCTTTATAGACTGGGAGTTGCCCGGCTTGGGCCTGTAGTTACTGTCCAAAGAATTATGAAAACTTCTAGCAATCCACCTGGCCATATAAACATTCAATGATGATAGGATCATTTAACATGCATGTCATCTTATCCAACAGCCTCATCCATTTTGTCGGAACCAAGGGTTGACGAGGACTAGAACTGCGCGCAGTAAACTAATTCCTGGCAGTAAGTAAGTGATGACCAGCCTTGCCGTTCACGAAACAAGACCGACCGAAGGACTCTATACTTTATCAATTTTATTTTTTATTCTCACACCGCTTTTATTGAATCCATCATAGTTTAAACCATCTTTAAGTAGGGAAACGGTCAATCAAAGGGCTCCCATGTGGTATGATCAAATGGGGAAATTTAGGTGGTGATAAAGAGGTATCAGCGTACAACCTCCGCGCGATGACCCGATGACAGTTGACCATTTTCAATGAAAGTTGGTGGTTTTGATTGCATTTTAAGGGATCTGATGCATTGAACAACTTTCGTAAGTGATCCAGTAGGCGCTTTGGGGACTCATTTGCCATCAATCTGAGAGCAAAACCTGGAAATACATAATGAAATATAATAAAAGAAATAAAAGTGCTTTAAGTGATCCACTTGTTTGTTCGTTTAGAAAGACGAATGACGAGAAAACACTGTCAAGATGAACTTATTGTGAGTGCGTTTGACCTGAACCAAAGCCCGGTTGTGGAGATCCGTTCAATGAAGCTACCGTCCGGGCTGGTGGTTCTTCATGTGAGAAGTTCTACAGGTAACTATGGTAGGTATCGGAATATGATTTATAATCTCCTGAACCAGGAGTTTATAGTCTTCTTGGGCGAATAACTGATTGCTACATCCTATTTGTCCGTAACAAGAGTACCTTTACCTAAAACTAAACCTGAATAGCCCAATATATTTACAAACAAAACTTGATCATGGAAATTAGTCACCGTTTGTTTCTAATTAAATACTGATCGGCTTAGAAAAATACGTGACGGATGAATCTTGGTGGGGTTAGTGAAACCTAGCTTTCATAGTTAATCTTGGGTTTAATTAGTGTTTCTTCTAATAAGATAATGATGAGTCATATGTGAGTGCCGTGGTGAAACATCATTCATGTACAATGTGCCCCTCACTGTGTTTGTTTAAACTGTTTGCGCTAAACACATTAAATGCACAATTCGGTTGTGTAGTCCAATTTCCCGATGAGGTAATTTGTGAATAACGGTTTTTCAAAGTGATACCTACTGAAATATATATATATATATATATAAATATGTCAGAAGACAAACACTCCCAGAGGGGATGCTTTCTCGTACTTGCCTGAGTCACACAATAATATTAGTGAACAGAAGTGACAGGCGTGTGACCAATTAATAAATCTGTTTATGTCTTATTGGGCAACAACCGGTGTACCTTTAAATGATTGCACGAGATTAGTTGAAATCATGGTAGGCCAAAGACAAGGTCATATAGATCCGGACACATATGATATCTTTTCAATCCATGAGTTGTTGAAACTAAACTGAACATCAACAAAACCAAACTACCGATTTCCATGACCTCTCTGATCGGTTTCTTCTGTTATCACATTTTGATCATATTGATTGGCTACATTTTAATGACCTCGTCGACCTAACTGCCGCGAAATCTCGTGGCCATAGATGCAGAAATGATGAATGGTATCTATAAAGTCAGACTGACGGATATAAAGCTCAACATAGTTGGCTGTAAGTCATATCTCTCGTTGTAAGAATGCTCAGCATTCACGGAAAACAACAAAACTCCTGTCGCTGGAAACTGTTTGTGTTGCACGAAACGTGTCTTTGAGGTTATGATAAAATTTCTACAAAACGGCAGCACGGTAGGCAAAGAGATATGTGCAATGATGATCTTGGTAAAATTAATTATTTTTTGGTCATTAACTAGTTCATCGACCAACGAAATTTAGTGAAGTGAAGCAGCTCAACATCAATTTTTTTCGAGGGACGGATAGCCAAAATAAAACGCAACCATCACCGAAACCAAACTGTTGATTTCCAACTCCTAAATATGCTTTGTAAAGGGCGCAGTTGTTTACCCTTCATTAGGTCCCATTCATCCAACCTGCCCGAGACAACGCCCATTGGACGACGCAGTTTTGCACCGTAAATCGCTTAAAGTGAGTGGTACCACAAGATGGCCGATCTGACAGGATTTGAGAACTGGTACATAACTTTTAATTCTTCAGTGCTTAATTTGTTGTTGGTCATCCATAGTTTAGTTTCGAACAATAGTTTCGGCTATTTTTGCACTCCGTGAGTTGAAATTGAATTATATCCTCGGTCGAATTTTGTCCTAATGGCTCAAAACAGAGAATGCGCCGAAAGGTAAACTTTAAAAAACTCTCGTGATGGCCCCGTTTAGTCTACACATTGCAGTCTGAGTATTTTGATTAGAAAAAGCTATCGACTCACGTAAGCACTTTGGAATGTGTTCGGCCATCCTGTAGTTTGCAGTGATCGGCCGATTCGACCAATGTATGCTTCCTTACAGCTGCAAGCACAGTTGAGCATGAAGGATAAGCTGACGAATAATTCATCATCCTTATTCAGTCTGAACATATTGGCGTACAGATAAATGTGGTCATGTGATACACCCTCGAACCAGCTCACACCCATAGGTAGTAAACGATCGCTACTCCGTCGCGTGTAATTTACTCTTGAAGCGTTTATTTTCTGGTTTATCCTTTCAACTTCATCGGGGAATATTAAGTGTTCAATAAGTCAAGTTCAAAAGCCTAAGACCACAATTTTCTGCCATACAAATAAATTTACCGAAAAGCTGCAGGCATATTTTGTGCAAATCAACTAATAAACAAAGACCATTGGTGGAATTTTGCAGTTTCAGAATGACAGAGGATTGGAAGGTAAATAATCTAACTTGATCTGTATAGAATTTAATTTTGATGAGTCTTTTTGTGTGGGAGGCGGACAAAGGCCTTTTGTTGCAATTTGGTGATATATTAGGTGCATAATCCTATCCTACCTTTTTGGAAAGTGCCACACGCCATTAAGTATTATTTAAAACCAAAGGGCTAATGATTACGTTTACTAGGTGATTTAATTGCTGGAAATACCAAATATGTCCTGCCGTTGTAAGGGACTCCGCCTAATCAGTTCTGCTTTGTAGTAACTTAGACTGTGAGCAAAATGAATGAGCCGTTGCTTATTGCCTAGTTTAACATATGATCATGTAAAATAAGTTGAATGGCTTGATTCTTTGGTAATGTATGTTCATAAGTTATTCAACGAACAAAAGCATTAAATACTCTTCGCACAAAGCACTACCTTTGTTACAATTCCACAAAATGAACAAACGTTTGCGCTTTTTCTCTTGGCCATAGGCCCGATTCCAATTGTTGATCGTCAACAAAAGCATCGAGGGGTTGCCAGAAATAGGAATCGACTAACACGAGTTTTATTACCATCAAAAACAATTCTGTTGGATTTCGCCTCCCAATCACTATTCAGAGTTCCGGGTGAAACAGAAAATCACTTTGTCATGGGCGCATTGAACATGAAGGTTTATCCAGTACCGACGTTTCATTCATCTGAATGTATATCAGAAATCATCTTATGGAGGAGGGTGTATGGATGGAGATTGGCGAGTGCGGTGCTGGAGGAGTAGGATATTTTGTTCTAGTCATAGCAATGCAAAGGTCACCTGGAGTTCCAAAGATAATGTCATTACACCGTTGCGAGCTGTTGTTGTCGACTTGACGCTTGTCATGTCAACCAGTCTCCTGTTTCTTTTTGTCCCGAAAAATATGCACCTCGAGAGTTCAACCTTGATATTTGTTGTTATTGTGTTCCACACAGTACTTTCGTTTGGCCGCCTTGTGCAATCTATTCACAGAGACAAATGCAGATGAATGAATGTAGATAAATAGGGTAACAAAAATACTGAAAACAAGGAGGCAGGTGAGAGGAGTAAAACAGTCACGGACGGCTGAACCGAGTATCAAACAAAACTGTCCAACAGAACGAAGAACTCGAAACCGTTTCCTCTTCCACCCTGATTTTTCAATATTTTTCCCCTGAGGCTGCTTCCTGACCTCTCCCTCACCCTTTGCTGTCTTATAAGACTTAACTTACTCCCTGTTTGAGTTTCTCCGAAGGTTCATGTTTATTACTTTGGTCCAGTATTGTTCTTTTGGGGTGTAATATTACTGTTACTTCAATGCTATTTGTGTTTTATTGAACCAGAGCACTTGATAGCTTTACGACTCATAAGTCACAAAGCAACACCTCGATCCGCGTCACCACCCCTTTCCGTTCCCACCTAAGCCTCTCTCTGCTTCCACAAGCAGACCAATCACCCTTTTACTGCTCGCCCCACAAATCTACAATCTTTCATCATTTGTTCAGTTCTTTTGCCTTATTGCTGAATCAAAAATAGCACATTTGATGTACTTGGCATACTGAGATCAGCAAATTCAAGTTCCTCGGATTTTATGCAATCCACGTTTTTCTAAATAAGATAGACATTTTATGTTCTCAAATGTTTATCTCCCAGTAACATGGACGAAACATCTTTCACTATGAAGTACCACTCCCATAATCTGTGCGACAACCATGCAAACATGACCCCTGGTCCTCAATGCTACTTTTTGTTTCCTATATATTGCAATATTCATGAAACATGAATTATGATGTTTATCTGATTCATTTGATGGCGATTGATGAATTGATTAAAAAATGGCCTACTTAATTAAGAACTCACATCCATTCGACTCGCCCGTCAAGCATATCTGTAATTAACTATGAAATCCTTTTAATTTAATTTACTATTTTATAAATGTAAACCAATGATTCCATTATCAAACAGATGAATTGCAGCCTGAGCCGGAGCTCATCAAACATTTCACCATGGACACGGAGTATCGACTGGCTAACTTGAATCAGAATAGCACGTACGTGGTTGAACTGACGGCGCAAACGGAAGCAACCCAGTTTGCTGGATTTGGTCCACCTTCCTGTTTGGCGTTGACCACAAATCCATGCCTGCATCTATCTGCCGATATATATGACTCAAGCGGTCCGGGATGTTCTCGTATGATTCGAAAACTCCAGGTAATTCATAAGCCCTACCTCTCGGTTACTAGATATTGTGTGTTTGTTTGTATTTTGTGTAAATGCAACATACAACGAACAAAACACAAAGTACTCCATTGATTTACTGATCGATAACTTCTTTTAGAGTGGTACTCGGGTGGTTCAAATCGGTCTCGCTGGTCTGCTTAGGCCCCTAGCACTCATCACCGCGAATCGAATTTGATGGCTGACAGCTTTGCTATTTTCGGCTCATTGGCATGCTAAGCCTTGCATCATTCATCATTCCATGTCTAAATATATGAATCACGCTTCCAGTAACTGAACACCTGACCCTGTTTGAGTTTCTCCCTTCAACAAATTTTACGCGTAGTGCAATAGATAAGAAGAATAAGTTCATTAAAGTCAATTTTTGTTTACTCCCGAAAGCGAACTGGCAGCAACTAAATTACCGATAAACTTCATTCACGTTTATTCGCATCAAGTTTGCAAAACACTAATCATAACCGTTGATTAATCCACACCTGACTTTTCAGGGAGATAGGTAACAACTCGATTTACATTGAGGGATTGCTTATCACCGATTCCGGATTTTCTAACTGTTTTGGAATGCACACTTATCATGTCAGTCAGACAGCATAGCTATTCGCGTATATTCTAACGAAAGTATGAATAACAAAAAGCTGTACAACAACTATGGATGATCATCAATAAATCGAATTCGTCCTTTCAGTAACCTCGTTAGCTGAAACGAAGCGTGTTACCCAATTAACAATTGAGCGCTTACCTATACAGTTCCATAATTTCGATTCAGGACACAAGACGTTTGTGAGCAACTCACGAGTTAATATTCTAGTTTGTTCTGGTCTACAATCGACCACAAGGTCCGATTTGTAGTTGAGCCGATATGATGGCAATCGCTATCCGTTTCTAGATTGAAGTAGCTCTACGATGCTTCATGGTAGCCCAGTTTTATTTTCTTCATTCTTTAATAAACGCTCCACTACATTGCTCAGATTAGTCCCAAATAACCAACACTCTGTGTATTATGTAAATATACTCGATCTTTGCAAAACTCCCGGCAGGAAAATCTCTTTGGGGTATATATTTTCACTTAGTTCCTTGGACACTCAAAGCTCAAAAGTACGCCCAACTGTGCAGTGTTCCCGTGCCTGCTTACACGGAGAATTGGTGACGAGTCAATTTGTGACGATGTCGATGAAATTGCAACTTCAAATCAGTGAATCAACAAAAGTATAAGGCTGGTTGGTAGTTGCATCCGAAATCTCACCCGTTCACTAGTACAACTCGTGGACAGAACGGGGCGAGGTTCAAATTCACATGATACAATGTTCACAATTGTGACAAACCCGATGACACAGTTCGTGGACTACGCAGTACTGAATCAATATAGTTCCAATCAAACGGGTATCACATTTTAAGGATTTGTGGTTTACTTGCGAACTTCCCTTTGACAATTAGAGAATAATCCTTGCAAGCTAAATTTGATCAATTAAATTTCTTGGGAAACCTTTTGGAGAAAGAACGAGGAAATGATTACTATGACAATCTCTGAGCTACTCAATCCTCATTAAATACCCTTCCAAGTAAACTTGTCCCTTTTCCTGTGGATTAATATCTGGGATAGCTGCCTTAGGAAGATTGAACAGTTCTTTTTTGTAACTTACATTCTCATCACGCACCAAAGAAAACAACGCCATTACTTCCGCGGCTTTACCGTTAGATTCGTTCATTCTCTCGTCGAAAACCAAAAGGTCCTCATGATGTTGATAAATTTCAGGGGATATTTACAGATCCATCCACACTCTACACGCAATAGAAACATATGATACAATATTCAGTCCGTTTATGTACATAGGTACATAACACGCGACAAGGATGACTTGCCACACAATCCAAATGAACATTGATGAATGCGTCATCCAGCTAAATCAGCCTATTTCACCAAAACAGGAGAGAACAATAGTACCTCAGGCACTTTGGCCACTGAAGTCAACGTAGGAAGATCTTTTCCTGTTCTTTTTTAACTGAGCGAATCAGCTATTCATAAAGATCAATATTGTTTTTTTTAATTTTGTAATATACAGCTGTGTTTCATTACCCCCAGATTTTCTCTGCTTCCAAACTTATTCTATACGTATTTATGATAATGGGAACATGAGAGATAATTAGTTCGGTTCTTATTCGTGCGCAGCAACTTCACGTTGAACGCCGCAATCAGTGCATCCATCGTTTACCAGAAATGTATCGACCGACAGTGCGCAGTCGAACTGCGAAACTGGACAGCAGCGTCGCGAGATCTGCGAACGATGGTACTATTACAGTCACAACCGAGCCGGAGCAAATCAGTGATGCTCGCATCAATGCGGTGTATCGGAATCAAACCTCAACCAGTGCATTGTCGGGAAATTTGAGTTTACAAAATTTGGAAATTACATGGGATGTGGCCCCACAGAGCGATGTGCCCGCGTCACAATTTCTGCTGGAGGTGCGAACATCACGTAAGTGCTATTCGTAAATTTACAAATTAATATGATGATCAAGCCCGACAATGTTGCATACCCTCAGAAATGTCCCGTAGAGAAAATTCACAGTCATAATGTTGGAGAAATTCACTCATTCAGTTGCAATGAAATTTCTTTAAGAGAACGACGAACGCGACGTGGCTGTTAGCTTCAGCTAGACCAGGTACTCGTAGCAGACATAGAATGGGTTTTCTGTGTGATATCGTCTGCAGAAAGTTGAACTTTCTGAACATTGCTTAACCAGTCATTGAAGAATATTGCTGTCCACAGTTTGACCACAACACAGCGTTTTCACTGAATGGTTCATGCTGCTGGGTACGAATAACCAGTGCGTTTGCTCCACTGTTTCACATCGTCTCGTCCTCCTCACCTACGGCATTAAACAAGTAAATTCCCACCGACCCTTTCTGTGATCTGATTGAATCATATTCTGCGATTTACGGCACATAGAATCCCTCGTCCGAACACGAGACTCTGATTACTGGCTTGTACATTTTATAATGCTCTTGATGTCACCTCCAGTCCACCCGTGGACTGATGACACTCCTGCTTCACAGTCGAAGTTCACTAAGCCTGCTTAAGACTCAAGACTGTAAACAAAGTGTGGTTTCTAGCTGGAATTAGTGGAGCAAGCGCCAGGTTCCTACTTGCGGCTGATCCATTCGACCGATCGATAAATGAACCTGATTGGTCGTGTAAGTTTTCGACTGGCACATGAGGAAGATGGGTTTTGAATCGGATGCTGCCTAAATTTTGATAGAGAATCACAAAAGAACCACAAGAGAATCAGTTGTGGAGTGGTGCGCAAGTATACAACTTAGTAAGCAAACGTGTTCTTATCTGTTACGTTTCAGTTGAAAAATTACGGTTTGATAATCTGGCCGTGTACAACATCAGTTCATACTAACACCTTTAGACTATGAAGCGATTTTGAGGCAACAAGGCATCTTGAATTTTCAACGAGGATAAATAGAACTGTAAAAGTACGAGATTCAAAGTTTCATTGCAGCACTTCGCCATTCCCATTCAACCTAATCCTCAGTACTGAACCTCAAGAATGTAGCAGTACATCTCACAAGTGAAAACCAGGCAACAAAATATTTATGCATTATTGAACTGATGGATTTCAGTCAGTGATGGTTACTTCCGAAATTTGATTTATTTACGCACATGACCGCTTGAAAAATATGATGGAAATAAAGATCACATATGTTGGGTTGGGGTTATCTATTCATTTTTACTTCCTTTTTTGAATAAATGATGATACGATTTTTAGAAATATCTTCAGTTTACAAAATATACCCGACTAACTTATAAACACCAGTCTGGATGACAACTGAAATAAAGCTCATAAATAAAATGAAGATTAGAAATTCATAACCCGGCTGAGTGAGTAAACATTAGAATAACTTTTTTATTCTCAGGTCTATCCATCAAAACTAGGTAGACACAAAAATAACCATGCCCCACTCTAACCAGGTCGATCAGCACTGAAGGACAAATGATATCTTCAGAACGGTAGATGGCTACTATCAGCAGCTCATCGTTCCATTGTGATGAAACCAAGTTACGGCTGCCTTTCTCGCTTGCTTTAGATCATTTTATACAATATTCAATATATATACAATGTTTCCATCACGGCGATCTCTTTCCAAACAGTGACTGTTTTTTGTTTGCATATAAAACAGCTGGAAGTGAAAAAGTGGGTTGCTGATTGGACGACTTGAGAATTGTGTGGGAAAATGAATTTTGAAAGATGATTTTTTTTTCAAAATATATACAAACGCAATACTATTCAAATGTAACTGAGACAAAATGGAAGTGGAAATAACAAACTATTGTTGCATTTCGGTCTGATTCAATTAGATACGCAGAAATACATTGGACGTGTCCACTTCTAAATAAATGAATTACCACAACTTGGAAGTACAACAGCACAACCAACATAGCACAACGAGGCACTTGGGAAATACAAGACACATCACATTTCTGTCTTTTTAGCCTACTCCTTCAAAATCGGAACCCAGAGTCGCAGCGAGAACGTTCAGAATAGTGTCCCCTTTAAAAGGATTAAAATTGTGGCGACCTGTTGTCTAAAACGATCTTACTGGAAATTCTCTCCAACTCTGTCCAAGTGAATTGCATGCATGATAAACCGGCAAAACACGACTCAATTTAGGACTCTACAAATCTTAGAAGGTTAAAATAAAAAATTCTTGTCTGCAACGAGCAGCCAATAATCCTAACTGATTATTCGAAACATTGTTTTTCGTGAGAAATTTCGTGTTATTCATAAAACTAAACGTTGTTTGAGAGAAGCTTGATTATGTGAATTTCTCCTCGGGCATCTACTGTTGTATGCTTGTTTACGTTTTACTTGAATAGCATTATTTTGCCCTCTATAGAGTTGATTTTTCAGACGAGAAGTATGCCCATAGGTGCAAAACCATATCCGGGCCCGAAGTGTACAAGTGCGTAACAACGGGCGACTTCGTCTGAAGTGGAAACTAACACATGGGCCGTTGTTCAAAGTCAAAGTTTTATTATGGGCATTACTTACAAGTATATGCTTTTCTTGTCCCATAGGGTGTTAAAACGAGTTGAACTGTAACAGTGATGAACAAAATTCCATATGCTGCATTTGGTTGTGTTTTGTGTTCTCATGGATGTTGGAATGCAATGCTTGTTAATGATTC